GTAATAGATTGGATCAGGTCGCAAGACAACGCAGTGGGAGAAACACAAGTTGAGGATAAACACAGTTGAATAACACTTGGGATATACTCTCAATAACTACGCCAATAAATATATGGTTTATCCATGAGTTGACATCCAATTCTCACGGGTGTATAATAATACCGAGGTGCTGTGTTCTCTTCAGGGAGTGACTGGGTGATTTAGAGCTGCACCTTCTTGGCTTCGACATCAATGACACGGCAGGCAGGCATCACTAGACCCCGAGTGCCTCTTACCCTGACTTTCTGATATTCATTTATTCCCATCTTTCCATGAGGAGCCCCGTCTTTGCTCTCTTCTCCCATTCATCACAAACATTGCCATCTCTCCCATCTTTATGCTCTCATCATCATCATCGTCTCACCGTTGAAGATGGCCTCCTTCCGCATCGCCACTATTGCTCTAATCTCCTTCATCATTTCTTTCGCTTCAGCCCAACAATGCACCTACAAAACAATCCAGCCAAAGGGCTCTGAGCCTGCTACCGCTCCCAATTGGGAATATTCCGTCATTGCCAATAAACTAACACGACCTCGCGGCATATTGTTTGACAGTGAGGGTGCTCTCATTGTTTTAGATTCTGGAAACGGTATAATCCACATGAAGCTCGATGACAATGACGCTGGAGGGAGATGTCTCCGAGTCTCAAGCAGGACGACTTTACTTGAAAAGAGTGATGTGCGTTTACATCCACATTCTTACACTATCGGTCACCAACTAATTTACAGCTAAACCATGGGCTCGCCATTTCAAAGGATGGCCGCACCATATATGCCTCCTCATCAGAGAGCGTCTTCGCATGGTCTTATGATCCTAAGAAAGTCACGCTGGATCAATCCTCAGAGCAGACACTAGTTAACAACATGACTAGTGAAGGCTATACACCGCGAACCCTTCTCATCTCACAGAAATACCCTGATATGCTTCTCGTTTCCCGAGGGAGCGATAAATATCTTGACCCGGGAACCGAAGACCTTTCCACTGGCCGCTCTCAAATTCGTGTTTTCAACATCTCATCTTTCAGTAACAGTTCGCCCAATACGAAGCCTTATAGCTACGTTGATGATGGTGTCCGCCTCGGCTGGGGTCTGCACAATTCGGTCGGCATAGCAGAACACCCCGATACTGGTGGAATATTCAGCGTTGAGAACTCTTATGACAGCCTTAATCGGGATGGCAAAGATATCCACGATGATAATCCGGGCGAAGAGATGAACTTTCACGGCTATCTCAATGGTTCTACGGAGAGCCGCGGCGGCAACTATGGCTACCCTTTTTGCTTTGCCTTGTGGTCCACAGACAAGTTTCCTAAGCTTGGTGACCTCAAAATTGGCCAACAGTTTGCTGCTGATCGTAAGTCTGGTCAATCTCGTCGAACCGATCGGGAATGCAGAAGGGATTACGTTGCTCCCGTGCTAGTATTCCAAGCCAACGCTTCGCCTTTGGACCTTAAGTTCGACCAGAACGGCACACGGGCATATATCTCTTTCCATGGAAGCTGTAAGTTATCATCCCACTTTACCCCCTGAGCCACTTGACTTACATGCTCAGGGGACCGTCGTGAGCCGGTTGGATATCAAGTTGCATATACCGACTTCAAAGATGGACAACCTGCGGCTGCCGCTTCACGAAGCAGGAATGCCACCAAACCCATCATTTTCAACAAATCACTCAACAAATGCCCGGATGACTGTTTCCGCCCTGTTGGCCTGGCCTTGGACTCAAAAAATCGGTTGTTCTTCTCCTCTGATAAAACTGGTGAGATTTTCGTGGTAAATCACAATGACACTACCCGGGATAGGGGAGGCAATAAATCTTAGGAGGGTGCCAATGACGATAATTCTGCCTTCGTCTTACGTCCTGGGTCGGCTGCGTTAATCATGACATTAGCCGCAGTTATCATGGGAGGCTTCCTTGCTTGATAGTTCCAAGTGGGCAACCAAGTTCTTGTGTTTTAATTAAGGCTTAATCAGAGTGCTGGTGGACGGGTGGAGTATCAGTGTTTCTGAGTTGGAACAACAGTTTAAGTTGTGGGCACAGCTGTTTCGTATCGTCATAGCAATTCAATATTCAAGCATCGATAACATAACATTTTTAAGAATTCTCAGTTCTATTACTAAGCCAGAGTGGCTCTCTTCATCCATCACAATGTCCCGCCAGAAAAGTAATCGGGTCCAAGGCCCGTGATATACACAAGCCCATGTATAGCGTTATTCGGCTACATTCGCGCTCATCACATGGCGTCCCACATCGGGACCAAGAGGTCATAGCAAGATAATCACCCTTTTGTTTGCCTTGAACGCCTGGCTCTCCTATTTGTACTCATAGTTGCGTCGCGCTTTACTCTGCCTCCATCTATTCCTCAATTGTCTTGACGCACTCCCACTCGCCTCGTAGATTCTCCTTCCACAACGACACCTTGTTGTCCTGGCCGCTTACCGCCAGCACATTGCCGCTGAGCGACCAGCTAACTCGCCACACAGCCGCCTCAAAGTTGAGGACCTTAGATTCCCACTGGGTAGGGTTTGAGGGGTCAGATGTCCAAATACGGACTGTCTTGTCCTGCGAAGCAGAAGCGATGTAGGACTTTTGGAGGACAGTAGGGGACCAGGCAACATCGCGAACCCAGTCGGTATGACCAGTCAGGGGCTCACGCTCTTGCTTGTAGGTCTGAGAAGCAGCATCAAAAGCCCAGATCTTGAGAACGTTGTCGCTGCCACCAGAAACGAATCGTCGGTTGCCGGTAGCACCAGGACCAGGGGCGCTGCTGACGATGCTTCCAGGAGTAGTAGCGGGAGCCCAGGAGACAGAGTTGACGCCGAGACCGTGGGCGGGGAAGATGGTGTGGTCGATGCTGTTGTCCTTGAACTCGAGAACGCTCACATTGCCGTCGGAGGAGGCGCATGCTAGCAGACAGCCAGCCTCATGGGGAGACCATGAAACGACGTTGACCGAGGCCTTGTGTAGGTTGAAGTCGTAGATTCGCTGCCATGCGTTGTTCTGTCCGCCCTGCTCCTTCCAGATGAATACCTTGCCATCGTAACCAGCCGATGCGAGGATGTTGCCGTACTTGGGATGCGCCCAAGCGACACACCAGACGGCACCCTCATGTCTGTAAGTCGACCCTGTCAGCTTCCCCTCCCTAGGTATAGGGGTATTTCGAGCCTACCCCTTGAGAGTCTCGATCAATCGCTGGGTTTCGCCCTCAATCTCAAAGATCTTGATCGTCTTGTCGCCAGAGCAGGTAGCTAGCTTGCGCCCGTAGTAATCGAGGACAGCATCATGCTGGGAGTAGCTGTCAGTATGATTCGAAGTCGTAGGGAGATATCGTGTCGAGCTTGGCTATGTATTGCATAGCTTCGAGTCGCATCAATCGGGAGCGGGAACGTACAATCATGTCCTCATGACCAGAGTTGGTGATAACTTGCGCCGACTAAAGGGGTGGGTTAGCTATAGTAGAACAAGTTGGGTATTGCTCGCTTCAGATGGGACAAGATGGGGATCTCATGATTCATGTATCACTTACCATCTTGCTAGATTTCACACCAAAGTTACAGCGCAAAAGGAAACAAGAAAAAAGGATGAATTAATAGAAAAGGTGGCTATCAGAGGACACGATACCGCCCATGACCTGGAGCTATCTGAGGTGGCCCGCGCCAGACCGTGGCGGTGGTGACAGTTGGCCAAGCTAGAGATCACGTGGATATAAACGTGATCTCGGCTTGAACACCCCACTTGCCGCATTTGTATCCGAACGGCGCAGTACGTACCGAGTTTAATGTTGCCTCGGCGCAGGCTTCCCCGGACGGGGCGGGAGAGCGGGCAATCACGAGCCATCGGGACTCGGTCTTGAATTGGAAACTTGGACTTGATTTCTGGGGAAAGCGGCTCTTGGATTATTCATCTTCAACCTCGCATCTACATTTTGATCTTCGTGCCGCACTTTCAGCCTTCTATAATCAGCTTTCAACAGCTTCACCGTTAGACATTCTATATACTATATACGCGCCACTAGACCCATCACGTACGCCGAGGTATACTACCTACTCAGTGCTCTCTCAGCATCTTCATCAACTCATATATCCAACATCTCACTCAATTATGGCGGACGCGTCGTGTAGCGGAGGAACACCCTTCAAGCGTCTTATTGACCACCAAGCCCGAGATGTCAGCCATCATCAAGACAGACTCGTAGATCGCGCTGGCCCTCAAGGTCATTCTGTAAGCACTCACGCATCTACTAGAGACTTATAAGCTAAACATCATCAGTCTTTCAGATCTGTACCACAACAGATGCAAGGCGCAGATGGCTTTGGAGCGTTCATGGATGGCCCATCAACTCTTCCAGGTATCCCTCAGCATCATGCAGCAGGAAGATTAGCAGCCCATGCCGCTGTCCTTGAACAAGGTCACTCACCAGCCTTTCACGCTGCGCAAGCACCACAGTTTCGCCAAGGGCATCATTCTCCCTCCGTGGACGTAAGCAACTGGGCAGCAGACTTCAGCCGCTTCGCAAATCAGTCACAGCAGCGTCAACCTCTTCAGAACGGCTTCGCTCAGCCTGCACCTCAGATGCATCAACCCGCTCCCCAGATGAACTTCCAAGCCGCATTTGTTCAACCAAACTCTGCTTTCTCTCCTATTTATGGCCAGGCCAACGGCGCTTTCATGAACGGCAATGCTGCGATGACTCAAGAGGTTGGCTTTGATGATGAAATGTCAAAGTGGATGGCTAACAACACCGGTGGCGGGATGGAAGAGGTTGACGCCATGATGGACCAGATGGCTCGTGAGCTGGAACTCAATGACGCAGCAATAGCACAAGCTGAAGCTCAAGAAGCCTCCCAACAGGAGACAACCGCTGAGCCGACATTGGAGGCTAACCCTACCAAGCTCGCAACACCAGATATTGCCAGCCTTTCTCTTGAGACAGAGGAGTCAGTGGTCACAGAACCTGTTGAGGCGGCAAAGACAAAGTCAGAAGTTGCAGATGCTGCAGAGCGTCTTCTTGAGTCAGTCGAGCATGAGGATGGCGAGAAATGGAAGAACTCAGTCTTCTTGTCATTAATGCGAGATTTCCGAGATGGAAGGAAAGACATCATCGACAATGAGATTCGGGAAACCCCGGAGAACGAGGGAGCTGTTGGGAAAGACGCCCAGTGACGCCTGCGAGACCTTGACGAAATCAGACGCATAGCCTCGAGGCTACGTTTACACAATCATGATACTATCAAACGTTCTTCAGCAAATTTTAGTAGTCCGCATCAAGACGAGTTGACGTCACGGTGGGAGGTTGCATCGATGAACGACTCGCTGTGGGATGCAGCCTCGTTTCCTAGTTCTTGCACCGAACATCTCAGTCGAACGACGTTCTAGGATAACGGAATCATAACTGATCAAGCCGGACCCTTAAGGTCCATTGGAGCAGAAGGGGATCGCTTTGTCATGGTATATAATGGCAAATTATGTACATCATGGTTAGAAAGTCAGCATCGGATACGAATCCGTATGAATTAACAGGCGTCGAAGTAATTAACTTCAAGTACAACTGAGAATCATATTTCAGGCTGAGAACAGCGGGTTTATGTACCATTGACAGTGAAAAAAACACGCTTGTAGCCAATGTAAAACACAATCACAAATCAAAGGACTTGAATCAATCAATAGGCATTTCTTTTCATAAGCGGTCAGTCGCTCCCATAACTCCAGATATTCCCTTCCTTTCATTTGTGACCCAAAATGCATTCCGTTACATGACTCTCGTTCCTTCTCGCATGATGCAATCTTGAGTAATGACAGAAAATCAGTGTAGACACGACGGATATATAAGAATCGTGTCATCCAGTAATGGCCCCCTTAGTCTTGTATGCATAACGCCATGATATCGAAGAAGAATGTGTAAGGTAGAAAATGGCAGGGCTCGTCATGTATAAATAAGCGAATCCATGCCAAATAAGGGCAATATAAATGAGATCAACTCTTTATAGTGACGTCCATGAGCAACCGCAATCGGTAAGTGACGGGTTTGTTCGTTTCAGCAACTGTCGAAGCGCTTTCTTGGTCTCAAGTTCTGAGCGCTTTGTGAAGGTAAGGTCCAGGGTATCAACATCCTCATTCTCCTGTTCAACAATGACGATCACAACCTTCTTACCGTCTTTTTCGACCGGCCTCTTCTCATCTCCGTCGCCAATGATCTCGTATTGAGTGCAAGTCGCCACGGATTCTTCACCCCATAGAAATCGGCGCTCAACCATCTTGTAAACATGGGGGAACACGGGCACGGGTTGTTTCCAAGAGCTCCAGTCGGCTGTGGATGTGCTAGAATAGGTGCTGTATGTGGCAGTGGCACCTTCGGAACCAGTAGTTGTCGCAGAAGGGGGATGATAGGTCGAAGAATTTTCACCGGGGTAAATAAAGAACTCGATGACAGTGTCTGGCCATGTACATATCCAAGGCTTGTCGCCCTTCTTGGCATTGGGGGGGGCCTTGTTCTTGAATCGATGGAAAGAGTTGTAGTCTTCATATTCATCGTCGCCGTCCCAACCTCGCTTGCTCAGAGCAGCACCAAACTTCTTCTCGGAAACGATGACAGTCTTGTTGTACTTTGTCCTCAACCACCAAGCAGGACCGCGTGCAAGTTCCAACGTGTCGTTAACTAATACCATAGGTGTTGGCTGAGGAATGCTGGGAGGTTGGGCACCCCACGGAAATGGCGTGTCCTTATCAGGAATAGCTTTGAGAGTCAGATTGTAGCAAGGTTTGGACTTGGATCTTGTGCCTTTATCGATCTGAATCGACCACATAGGGATGACAATGTCACAGGACCAGGCCGATGACTGTTGCGAGTCGTTGAAACAGGCATTGCTATTCTGAGGGCTAGGGTCAATATTGGGGAGTGCAAAACGCCCTACGGCCATTGGGGGCAAGTCAGTCGGTATGGTTGTGATGATCTCAGGGTCATATGTGGTCGTGGTCGGAGGTTGGTAAGAATATTTGCTGGACAGGAGTTAGCATGATAGTGAAGGTCAACAGCAAAACTTACTCATTTGGATCAGGGGGTCCATCTGGGTTATTGTTATGGTTTTTTGTGAGCATAGTTCCAATAACGGCACCCATGATGATGCCCATGAGAATCAAGCCAACAAGCAGGAGGCAAATAGCCCAGTAAGGTACAATTCCCCAGAGCTTCTTCTTTGCCCTACGTTGCCATTTGTTGACAGTAGGCTTCTCGGAAGTTTCGGCGGCGGCGGTGTTGATGTCGTGATGGCTGGCCTCGGAGGCATGGCTTCTGACTGAAGGCCGGGTCCTCGGCAAAGCTAGGTCATCATCCGTTGATGAGAATTCAGGATCGCGAGTTGCCATACCAATTCCACCAGCTCCTGGAATTTCCCTGGTGGGGGATGCGGGCTCAGACACGGGCGATACTGGCGATACTGGCGATACTGGTGTTTGTGTTGCAGGTTTAGGCACATACGCATTATCCGGATATCTGGTGTAGGGCGGCAGTTCCTCCATATGGCCCAATGGGCCGACCAAATCACCTGCCTCTTCTCCATCCGGTCCTAGTTGTCGCTGATAAGTTCCTCCCAAGCCGTTGAATCCCACTGGAATCGAGGGTGCGCTGCTCTCGCCGGAGGTGGTGTTTTGTGTGTAAAGAGCGTATGGATGAGTTGGAGCTTGAGTGCCTCCATAAGAACGATCTTCTGGTATGACTGCGTTGGCGGTGGTAGATGTAGTAGCCACACTCATTGTTCGCTGAGGATACATCTGATATGGATGAGAGGGACCAGATGGGCCTGTATATGGACTTTCGGCGCGAATGACCGGAGAATCTGACGATAGACTGTGGTTGTTGCGTATGTGAGATCGGTCAGCAGTTGATGTGCCGTCGTTTCGAAGAGCAAGAGAATCATGATTTCGGTGAGGCTTGGAGATGCTAGAAGGTCGATTGCGGATGGCAGGTGCGATTTCACCTGATCCAGAGACAAGTGGTGCCTGTGATGACTTTGTAGATGCCGATTGTTGGGAAAAGGATTCAGTCGATGATAATGACGATTCGGGTTGGGTATTGGAGTTTGAAGTCGGGTTCATGGAAGAAGAAGAAGAGGTGGCATTATCGGACGGTCGGAAGCCATCCGCCACCATCATAGCACTGAGATCGTAGTCATCGTCGGCACCACTACCAGTGGACAGCCTCAAGGAACGCGAGCGTCGGGTCGATGAGCGACGCGAGTTGCTAGAGTCCTTCCCGTTGTTGGGATCCATGGCGTGGTGGAAAGGGAGGCCAGGGCTTCAAGCCAAAGACGCCTGCAAGGGCGTGCCCTACAAGTCGTTGAATTTCAAGAGTTGAAGTCGACGTTGAGATCCAAGGGGGCGATGAACGGTGTCGGGATTCGAAGGGGAGCGGTCGTCAAGCCAATGGCGAAGGGAGTCGTTTTCGGGAGACAAAGTCAGATAAGGAGACAGTTTGTAGCGAGCGAATATTGAGTTCGAAACGGGAAATTCGATGACTCGAGTCAGGTCGATAATCGGATGAGCGAGAGTGATTGAGAGATTGAATTCGATTCGATTGATTGATGATGATGATGATGATGATTTGTTTAGTCGTGGTTGGGATGGGATGGATGGATCGATGGGGATTGACAGGATGGACAGAACTGCAAAAAGCCAAGAAAGAGAAAGCGGGTTTCGAAGAGGAGCGAGGGAGCGACTGAGAGTGGCTACACAACAGAAACAGGAGGAGGGAGACTGGGAGAACAGACCAACAGGAGGCAAGCAGGCGCCATACCAAGAGAGGGTCCCGACTTTCCCAGCGGGCTTCAGTGGACCCAACGCCCCATCCTAAGCCAGTCAGAACTGGTCTGGAAAGGGGAAGACCTCGAGGGAGTCCGGGCTAGGCTCAAGATGGTCTAGAACTGCCTGAGCTAGCAATTCCAGCGGAGGTTTTTTGTTTTCCTCGAACCTGAGTTGAGTTAACTACCAGAAGAGTTCAGGGCGCGTGAAAGCTTAATAAAGGCCTAGCTAAAGACACAAAGAGAGGCGTGCACGAGGAAGAGCACGGTTGTGCAACACTCAGCACATTCTTAATCCCATCAAACAGTCATGATCTGCAAAAGATTAACTCTCTTATCTGCAATTGAACCTTCCGTGTTCCCCAATGTGTGTCCCCCCATTGTCAGAGGGTAAAAACCACAAATTCCCCCTGGGCTGGCAGTGCAAGTGCCTGGGGCCAGGTTTGGAACGGCGGAGCTGGGCCTAAGGGGCGAGTGAGCGCCCTGGATCATGCGATTGGCGGACCGAGGACCCCGTTTCGAGCAACAGCCAGTGACGCAGCTTGGAGCGGTTTCAGCGAGCAGCATTGGGCTTGTCTTTGTGGATGGATCACTAATGGAGAGGTTTCATTCCTGCGTCATTGGTCATCGGAACTTGGCTACTCGCGAGACTCTATTTTTGAAGGTTTGTGTACGGATATGCATAGTTGGGTGTTGATATTGATGTTTACGTGGTGGATCCTCGTATTTACAGTCATCCATTCCCTCAACACATCATGATGCAGACTATCCCATAGTATGGATATAACTAGTCGTTACTATCATCTTCATCATTGGAAGTCTCGGCAATGATTGTCTTTCAGTCATGTCATGGATACTGTCACCGTCGGCTCTTCTCCCGCTTGGCAACCAAACCTGACTAGGGGTTGCGCAGCATCGGTAGCACACTCCGAGGCATTGGCCTTCCATTATCGGTTCCAGCTGGTTTTCACGCGCCAAGATCCTTGTGTGGATGGTACTGTACTCTTTGTTTACAGTCGAGTTCAAACTGCCGTGATGAGTTCAGGGTCTACCATTAACAATTAAAGATAGGCAATCTGATCATCGTTGGAAGAAGACCATGTGAAGTTATGAACCGATTCCCATTCTCTGTTTCACTGCATGGCTTATCAGCACTCAAGTTCAGGCGCTTCCTTACTTCCATCACATTCCTCAGATCGCACTGCACGAAATGGGTGATCCCGGCCGAACCGGCAGCGATGCTCTCTCCTGATTCCCAGGTCTCAGTCCCTCAGGGAGCAAGAAAACTTCTGACGCTGAATCAGGGTGCCAAAATAAACTGGTCTAAAGTCCTAGTGTGATATACTAAGTTTACGTAAGTCTTTTTATCACTTAGATCAAAGGTCTCAAGTTTTCTTGCCTCTCCTTGTCAGTGTCTGTCATTCCCGGTCTCCGCTGATCTCACCAAGATGATCTAAATATTTGCTCACTCAAGCGAAAACCCCATCTTCATAATCGATCCACATAATATCCAAGTTTTTTCCAACTCGTCTTCTAGAATTGTCATTTGTTGATTTGCACAGAGCGAGGGCTTTGTCGATGTTAATTTCCCAGTTAGTTCTGAATAGCATCCAACGGTCGGCTAGTCGGCTCTCTCTCCCTGTATCCCTGATGGCTTGCACGTGGGCTATCCCTCATCTCACCTGTGTTGAACTGGGCTGTTTCTCAGGTTCATGTAGTCTATGCTTCGGAAACGTGCAACACGACTCGGAGCATGCTCAAGGGCGCACTTGCTTCTAGAGTACCTTATCCAACCAGAGTCTTCATCTCGAGTGTCTCAAGATGCAGACAAAGTTGGACGATTTCGATGTATGCGTTGTCACTGAGAAGATGGTGTCAGACAGATGGTTCTCATTGATCTTTGCACAGGCAGGTGAGATCTCTCTCTTATATCTGCCACACCGGTTGAAAATGAAGCGTTGAAAATGCTCGCCTTGTTTTTTCTAGCCCACTCTCATGTCATTTCTGGGGTACAGTAGTTTCCGACTGCCGGTTGACGAATGAACCAACCATGATACTTAACCCAACTCTCGGGTTGCCTGGTGTCTTAACCACATGTTCAGCATGAATGTCATTAAACAACGAGTTGAGCACTCGCATAGTCCACAGATCACACGGTTGACAAGATGAATCCTTCAAAGTGGTGATCTGTGTGAAATGGTGATTGTACCAGGTATACTAGATGTCAGACCTTGTATACTATGCCACCAGAGTATCAAATACACAATGTCTGTTATCAGGCCATCGACTACATGTTACCCTACAATCAAATGTTCACATCTGCTAACCTATAATGTCCTAGAATAGTTTATCAATGAAGCTCAGAAAGGCACTTACAGTATGCAACTCTCGACCCTTTATCCCTGGATCGTCAGCCTTATAATTCATGTTTCGTTTCGTTTCTGCACTTCCACATGCCTCTTGACTCCAAACAGCAACTCTACCCTTTCCAAGGGCGTTTATTTTTCAACCCCATCACATTCTTGCTCACCTCGCAACTGCATAAAACCTCTTCCAATCCCATCATGTCACAGCACAACCCCTCCCTCACGCATAACCAACCAGTCAGCCCTGTTACGGCGGCAGCTTGCATGCTCCAGCAGCCAATCGTTGTGGCTCAACATCACCGCTTGAAAACGTCCCGCGTAGAGCAGACCACCGCACTGCAGCCTCGTTTAACTTGTTTCGGTCCAGATAAGAGGCAGTGAGAAAAGAGAAAACGGCAGCCACAGCGAAATGCATGCCGCTGCATGACGTCTAGGCGTCAGTTATACACTGTCCTCAAGCGTTCGCATGGCTCCGCAGCCTGCTGTGTTTAGTTAAAGTGTCCTGATTTTTTATGATATTCGTTGGTGGATTATGCTGTCGAACGGGTCTTGTGTCAGCCAAGTTTCAAGGAACTTGGACTCTCGGCCAATTCAGTTCCACGGGCTGTGTCTGTTCGTGTTCCGTGGCCAATTGAGTTGATCAACCCGAGCTGTCAATCGCATAGTTCAACTTAATTTCTCATCGTCTACTCGATACTGATTAGTCCAACTTGACAACTACTGGCGAACCACTACAACGTGTACCGTTCGCTTCACATTAAACTACTCGCCCACGAGATTTGCATCTCTTACACCCTCATCTCTGTCCTAGATCATCTATCACCTTACCCCTCTCCAAAGCAGGGCGAACGTGGCGCACGATCGTCCAGCTTGCACAGCGTCCATGGCCCCTTGGCTGCTCGCCCGAGAGCCTCAAGGAACGTCTGTTCCCTCCCGCCGTCAACCAAAATCCACTGGCGGCCCGTCACTTGCAGCGTACCGGTACCGTACCGTACTGCACTGCACATCACCTGGAGAGTCGTATCGTGTAAGCCCGCTCGCACAGAAGACGCTGCACGACGGACGGTCTTCACACCCACTCACTTACTGACTCCAACTACCCCTGTTGTTCTCTGCTTCTGCCGCTACCACAGCCTGTCCTGTTGTGCAATGTGCAACAACCATATGAGACAATAGCCTCTTTTCTCGTCGCCCGCAGAATATGAGATGCCTTGATGAGGCAGCCGATCCTGACGATTGCTTTTGTGCAATGGTCAATTCCAAGTACGTAGACGTTGTGTAGACCTCGCCTAGTCCGTGTGTTTAGTTCCCGTCTATATCATGCTCCCATGTCCGTCTCTCGTTTGCCTCGTCCTTTCTTCTTTAGCTCTTCATGTCGATCTCTTCTCTCTTGAACAAGGAACCCCTTCTTTCTATTGCCCATTCTGCCACGCTTGGCAAGCATCACCTTGCCTCCAGCACAACACCAGCCTCAGCTCACTGCTTTGGTTTGTGAACTGCACACCATTAACACATTCTAACCTCACAAACTCATTGCCACCCGCCTCATTCTCCAAGTAATTACCATCTCTAATAATCCACCATGTCACGTTCATCCGTCTACTCAGATGACAGCCGCTCATCGGCATGGACGACTACTTATACCCGGATACCCAAGAAACAGCCCAAGGCTCTCCGCTTTCTCTCATGGGTAGCTGGAGCACCACCTGGAGCTACAGCTGTCAAGAAGAGAACAAGAGACTACCGTGATGACCGTTCAGTCAGTTCCGGTGGCTCGACGTTCTCTAACTGGGATCAGTCCGACACACAACTCTACTGGGTTGTTCATCCCAATAGCTACTACTACAGCGGTAGCAGCAGGGGTAGCACCAACAGTGGACATAGTAAGCGAAGTGGACGGAGTCACAAGAGCGGAGGTGGCTCCCGTAAGCACTTTGACGGAGCCGTTCCCCGGCCGGTGGTTCAGCCGATGAACATGAACGGCGGCCCCCCACCACAACATCCACCTCCGCCTCCGATGGCCCCACCCATGGACGGAGGCTACGACGAAGGTCCAGGTTATGATGCCGGCTACGGCGATGGTATCTATGATGAAGGCTATGATCCCAATTTCGGTGGTGGTCCTCCTCCTGCCCCGATGATGGGCGGGTATGGTGGCCCTCCTCCTCCTCACATGCCTCCGCCACCTCCCATGCATCCCCAAATGCCCGGTGGAATGCCCGGCGGAGCTCCTTTTATCGACTTGACTGGCCAGAACCACCCAGGAGGTAGAAGAGGTCCTTCTTCAGAATCAGACGGTTGGAGTTCTGGGGAAGATTAATGTCTTGAGACTGGATTGACGGGCAAAACCTATTGAGTAGTGTTGTGCTTTCTGTTCATGTTGATGATTGTATTTGGATATGTATAGCCAACAAACTTGGGATGGCGAACATGGCGTTATTGGAACTCAGTCATGAGACAACTGAAGGGTTATGAATGAATTCACGATTGCTTGCACGTATCAATTTGACGAATGTCGCTTGCCGTTCTTTGTTTCTTGTTGGTATGGCCATCAGCGTATTAGCCGCTTGCATTCAATCCGCATGCCTTTGATGCGATAATAGATACTATGCATGTATGATTTGATAATATGAGTAGCTGCTCTGCATATTTTGTTTCAATGTTATGCTTTAGAAAGAATGTTATCACAGCCATTACTTCGAATCGCTTGAACTACGTCACAAAGAATTTATCCCATCCAGTGTGGCACAATTATAGCAACTTGGTCATCGAGCTGTATAACAAGGAACGAAACCAGAATTGCTAATATCCATCTTGAAACGTGAGGGTCTAGACCTTTCGATGATTGCTACCAGGTAACTAAAGGTCAAAATGACGTAGGGATAGAGTCTCGACCATTCACATGCCTCTAACGACTCAAGAAGTGTCGTGTGCTCCCTCTCATACACAAGGTGCGATACGTAATATCTGCGGTAGCAAAAAAAAAAAAAAAAAAAAAAAAAAAAAAAAAAAAAAAAAAAAAAAAAGAAATAACGCACGGTGATCTTCCCCAGTCAAGTACGACAAAGAAA